TGAATCTCAAACTGAATTTTTTTTTGACGTAATTTGAAAATCAATCCCAAATTAAAATTTTGGTATTCTTAATTTTTGGAATTTCCGAAATATTGAAAATATTTCGAGATAGATTGGGACTGAATTTTGGATTTTTGACTTTTGGGCCAAAATTTGAGATTTTGGAGATGTCGGCTAAAATTTGGGTTTTAGCCTTAAATTTTGTTGCCCAATTTCATATCAATTGAAATTTAGGTTTTTTATCTTATACCAATTTGAAATTTCATATCAAGTTAAATTGACATTCCAAAGTTCCAAACAACTTAATTTCATACTTCTATTTCTAATATAATCTACTATCAAACTACTTAAACTCAACCTTCAATATGCATGCAACCAAAAAAAAAAAAAATATATATATATATATATGGTTCGATTCGACATTCCTGAACCATTGAATATGTAATCTCGATTCCCGTACCAAAAAAGTTTGGGATTGGTTCAGTATGGATCCAGAAAATTTCCGTATTATTGGCTTAGAAATTTTTTAGTATGGAATCGTGATTTTTTAGTTTGGTTTCGGATTTTCGTAAAAAGATTTCCAGCCTAATCCCAAATACGAATGATGTCAACATTTTGATAGAACCTTACAACTTTATATTTAATTCTACAAAACAGCGACAAATGATAACTAGTATACAAATTAAGTTCAATGTTTATCTGTGTACTGAACTATGAACATAAAATTTGGACAAAAAAAAAATAAAATATGAACAGAATACAAAACTGCAAATTAGTTGCAGAGATCTCAATAGCTCTACCATAAAACTAGTTGGCAATATAGAGAGTGATCCAAAACCATGTAAGTCCTTAGCTGACCTTGTCCTTCACCGTTGTGGGACAAACTGACACATGAGCACGTGAGCATGTGTAGCCCTTTGGACTTTCACGCAAGAGAAACATACTCTAATACCATAATAAAATTAAGATTCTATCATAACTACAACCAATAGGCACTATGAGAAATAGCTTGACATCATATAAACCCTTATTTAGCCTTGTCCCTCATTGAAGTGGGATAAACTATCCACACATATTCAACTCGCAACAGTAATTCTTCTGCTTTCATGAATTTTTAAGGCAGCTTTGGAAAAAATGGGAGAATTCTTCTTCTTCTTCTTCTTCTCTTGACATTCTCAACATTCTCAGCATGAAAAACTCAACGAAGAACAACCCATTGGAATGTAGGCAGTCTGTTATGAATGTAAAATAGGATTGAATTTTGATTGCCTTAATCACCCGTTAGAGAGTTAAATTGTAGGTTTTATGCTCTAGTTTTAGGAATCTTTAATGAAAAAAGGTTTTTCCGAACTTTTTATTAACAAAAAAAATCATCTAATGACATGCGCCTTGCACGCACTTTTGATTGGGGTTTTGTTTTCCTTTTATTTCTTTTGTCTTTATCATTAAATAAAATTATTAAATTACTTTTGATTAAGGAAATTGTCATTAGCATTTCAAAAATCTCATTTGGCACTCCAAACTTTCTATAATTAGAAAGAAAAATACACTTTTGAAGAGTGCAAAATAAGATTTTTGAAGTGCTAATCAATTCCCTTAATTAAAACTCAAAGTTTTAAAGTTTTTGTTTATTATTTTTCCTTTATTTTTATTGTTAGGGATTTTTAAGTATACCAGCTGCCATTAAGACCATCTCCAATAGTGGCTTATAACCTAAATTTTCCCCTTCCCCCCCCCCAAATCCACTCCAACCCAAAACCTAAACCAAACCTAAAACCTAAAACTTAAAATGAAGGTAAATATAGGTCACAAATTTTAGCCCACAAAAGCTGATGGGACTCACGGATGAGAGTGAAAAGTGGGTCTTGTCCTGTAGCCAACGGCTACTTTTCTTCATTGGTGGTGGTGGTAATTGGACCGTTGGTTAATCCAACGGTCCACATTCAATTTTTTTTTGTTTTATATTTATATATTTATTGAATCCAACGGCTTAAATTGAATATAATTAAATCTAATGGTAAAAAAAAAAATCTAACGGTCCAAATTTAAATCCAATGGCTAGAATAATCTTAAAATTTATCGGAATTTAAATATTTTTTTCCAACGGCTAGAATACTTTTTTTTTAAGTTTATGTGCTTTATCATGATTTTCATGTATTGATTTAATGATTTTTCAAAATTTATCGGAATTTAAATATTTTTAGGTTAAAATGTTCATAAAATTAATTTAGGATAGTCTACATAATTTGTTTTTTTTTTAAATTTAATTTAAAAAAATAGCCTTAATTCATTTTTTGATAATCTGGGGCTAAAATTTTAGGCCAAAAAGGTTGAAGTAGAAAAACTGTTTTTGGGCTAAAACCTAAATCTTCTGGGCTAAATATTTTTAGGTTTTAAGTCAGGATTGGAGATGGTCTAAGGGGTATGGACTCATATCATCTTCGGATCAATCCTGTGGGGATCCTCCTGACGAATTGATCTCATCCGTTCGTACAAATCCAATGGTTCAACTTAGTTGCAAGTCTTTTCTCCCCCTTTCAGAGGAGAAATTTTTAGTTTGTGACGGTAACACTATGGTACACCATGTGGTTTTATGCAAGTGGTGAAAAATTTTAATTTTTAAGTTATTAACCTTTTAACACACATAACCAATCATTTATATAGGGACACGTGGTGTACCATCTCGTATGACAGTGACACTGAAAAATCTCTCATTTCGGAGCTCTCTCTTCCCCGTCCTCTTTTCACCTCAACTCCTCTTTCTTCCTCACTTCGAATCACCCGCCGCCACTGTAATCCCACATCTTACACAACCCAGCAACCCTTTCCAGCTCTCTCCCACCCCAGCGTCCCCAGCTGCAAATTCCTCTTCCTGTTGAATAAAGTCCCAATTTGAAGGAGCTAAGAAAATATCAAAGAACAAACGGCAAGACTAAAAAATAAGAATTAAAAAAGTAAACAAGGAATTTAATTGGGGTGGGTTGGGTTGGGCTGAAGAAGACCGAAAAGATGCAGGGGGTGGTGGTGGGTGCATCGAAGTGAGGCAGAGAGGAGTTGAGGGGGAAGAGAGGAAGCGGAAGGGAGAGCTGCGGAAAGGGAAGGAGAGACATGCAACTAATCCGACCCAACCGATGAGATCAATTCGTCAGGAGGATCCCCACAGGACTGATCCGGAGAGGATCTGGGTCCAAAGAGTATAATCTTCATATATATAAAGCCAAGCATTCAATGAACAATGTTTTTTCGGTGTGACAAGCTTCACCAAAAGAAATTGGACAAAAATGCCCCTCAAACAAAAAGCTTCAAAAGCAAACCAAAATAATGCATCAAATATGGCAGAGGTATTTTCGTCATTTTTAATAGTATTTTTTAATAATTAGTACCTCACAATAGGCTAGTAATAATGTGATTCAATCAATTGTTCATTAAATACTATTTTCTCTATTTTTAAACACGTTCAAACATTTTAAGAAGCGTGTAATGTCAGTTATAAAAAGGTCTTTCGCCCTTGGATAATAATATGATTAAATTAGTTGTCAAATAATTGTTTTTTAGCCCAGTTGAAAAGAATCTAGCCTAGAAATATATTTTTCTTCCAGAGTTTATTTTAGCCCAGTGGTTGGAAATGAAACCTAATTTATTCTATATTTAATTAGGATTTATAAATTTTTATAAAAGTAAAATTCGGATGTATTCAATCAAAATTTTTAATGGAGCCTACAAAGTTTAATAGGGTATATTCAATCAAGATTTGACAAATCATACCTCTTCGAATTCATCCCTATGAGATTTTGAAGAAATTTACACAAATCATACATATAGAATTTATGAAAGTCTATTAAAACTTCATCAAAATTCATCATAATAAGGATTTAACATCGGAATGCAAAATGAAAACTCTAACAACGCCTCATTCAACTAATTGATCGTTAATACCAATACTAATGTTCCAATCTGATCCAGCCTACCAAAATTCATCATAACGTCTTCAGTTCACTTTCTCAATTCCTTCAAAATTTCGAATGTCACTGTCACTCTTGATTGTAATCCCTTTCTTTTGGCCGGTGGACTTGTCTTCGGCAGAGACATTCAGGATACCATTGGCATCAATATTGAAACAAACTTCAAATGAAGGAACATTTTTCGGTGCTGGAGGAATACCATCGAGGGTAAATTTAGCCAAAAAGTTATTGTTTTTAGCTATGCAGCTTTCACCCTCATAAACAGCAAAGTCCACCAAATCTTGATTGTCATAAACGGTAGTTACACTAGTTTTCTTCATGACTGGAATTCTAGAATTTCTTGGAATCACAATGTTCATGAATAACTTGGAACTACCACGTTCAAGACACTCAAATCCAAGTGATAAAGGGGTGACATCCTCAGTGAAGTCCTGAAGCTTCCCATTTCCATTCCCACTCAAGACTGCAGCTTGAACAGCGGCACCATACGCAATTGCCTCATCCGGATTGATACTCTTGCACAACTGCTTCCCCTTGAACACATCCTGCAACAGTTCCTGCACTTTGGGAATTCTAGAAGATCCACCGGCAAGAACAACATCATGGACACTGCTTACTTCCATATTGGCATCCTTCAAACACTTCTCGACTGGCTCCATACACTTGTTAAAGAAATCCATATTCAATTGCTCAAATTTGGCACGGTAATCTGTAGAAGTTGTTGGCTATATCGGTGTCTTCCATTTCCAGCAAAACGGGGGATCTCACTTTTTTTTTTGGACAAAACAGGGACCTCACTTGTTTGTGACTTTGGATATATCCCTCAAACATCCTAAGACAAAAAAATATGTACACTGATATGGGGCCACAAACATCTCAAAGGGTCCCAACAATGTAGTATATTAAACTAAAAGGTAATGCTAGGGAGATGAAATTTTAAAACTACATTTTGAAAACTAAATGATGTGGTTATTGATGATTGAATTATTCCTCAAGTTGGGCCTGTCAAATGGGTCATGTTTGCAATATTTGTGTCATTTTCATGTAATCTCTGTTACTTAACAAGTCATGTCATACCAATTATCTTAACGGATTCTTAATGGATCGTGTCATTTTATCCGATATAATTAAAAAGTAAAATGACCTGACCTAACCTGTTAAGACCTTAAGAAAAGAGAAAATTAAAATTAATGGGTTGTGTGATACTTTGTTATTCAATACGATAACTATTGTCGTGAATGGTTGTCTCTCATTCTTTATATTTTCATCTCTAGAAATTCAAGTACGATCAAATTGAAATCTACCATCTTTTTTTTTTTTAAATAAACATTGACATGTACCAACATAATTTATTCTCAAATTGAACTGTACATATGCTAAATTAAAATGTATTCATACCGAATTAAAATGTATGCTTACTAAATTGAAATGTACCATGCTGAATTGAATTGTACCCTTTTTGGCTTGAAACATACTGATAGGTTTTAGGGGTACAAATACCTTTCCATTAGCTTTTTACATACTAAAACTATGATAATATAAGTGTATCAATAGCTTGGTATGTATCTAAACAAAAAATAAATAACATATCAAAATACTAATTTGTACACAAATTTGGATTATGTAGCTGTTTGGACCCGATTTTACGCTATCGGCCCGTTGCGTTAAAACCATTAGATGGCTCCAAGACTAAACTGATTTTTTTTATATTACTATTAATTTTAATTATGGTAATTATCTTAAGAGAGTTTTTTGAGTATGAGGATATCGGGATGAAATGGGATTAACATGGCGAAAGTTGTGGAAGTCTACAAAGTCATGGCTTTTTGCTTGGATAAGGAATTGAGCTAGTCATATTTGATTTGAAAAGCATGCAGCACGTGGAGATTGGGTGGATTCACAATCAAATGGGGTTGGTTTGTGATTATCCATTTGAGTTCATGAAGATTGCATGGAGCATGCATGCAACATTATTAGCGGAGACAAGCCCACGTGGCCTAGAGTTCTGTTTGAGATTGAATATATCTCATCAAGCGCGTGGCCTCATCATATATTTTGGTTCAGGATAAAGATGCATGAGTGACCAGATGATGGGTGGAAGCATATTTGAATGGCAATTCTTTACAGGATTTCGTAGAGGCATCTGCGCATACGACTCGTGAGACGGAGTGTTGGTTAGGCCAACACATCATCCAATGGGTTTACAGCCACTATAAATACATAGGCAGTGGCATCATTTAAAAGACCCCTGCAAATCAACACAAAAATTGCCCTGCGCAAACTCTCACAACTTGAGATCTTTTTCTTTTCCTTTTTTTCGCTGACACATCTTCCGTTGGCATCAACAGCACTGTGGAAGCAACCGGTGATATCTTAAGTCGGCATAGATAGCTCTGTCACCGTAGAGTCGGTCGGTCTCGCAGTATCTTCCGTTGGCATCAACAGCACTGCGGCGAGAACGGTCGATTGCCTATCCAAGTCTCGGTCGAGAAGGGTTTTCGAATCCTTGTTGGTCGAGGTCATCTCATTAGCCTTCTCGGCGAGGTGAGGTGTTACAGTTATTACATTCGGCACATTGTAAGCCGAATTCGGTTCGTGAACTTTGTAAGAAATAGCAGCCTTGTCTTCAGGCTCGAGAACCCAAGAGGCCGAGACGCGTTCCTTTCTCGGCCGCAATCGCAAGACGCAGAAGTCAGTAGCGCGACTCGACACAGCATTATCAAATTTACTCCTCGGTCGAGCCTCGGCCGACGAGTTGGCACGCCCCGCAATCACCGAATGACGTAGTTAGCTTATTAATTACTCGGCCTGCGCGCCACGTAGGCTTTGTAGTTTCTAGGGTCAACATTTTGGCACGCCCAGTGGGACCCAGTGCTAATACTACGAAGTTCATATGATATATCAAGATTCCAATCTGGCTCAACGTAGCCGATTGTACGAGCTCCTGGAGGAATTGAAAAAACATAATGAGGAATGTAAAAAATCTTTGGAAGCAGAAAAAGTTCTTCGTGGCCATAGAGAGATGCAAAAGTCATTCGCTTGCGTGTTGAAAATAAAAGCTCCTGTTACCCTGCAAGGGCAATGGGTAAATGAAGACAGGGCTCGATTTAATGCCTGGCTAGATGAAGAAAATTTTCCTTATGTTTCTGATTACAGATCAATTCCATTTGAAAAATGGTTAGGCCCAATGGCCGGGGGGCAATTTTTCGCTCCGGCCGTAATCACACATCGGCCTAAGAAAATTGGTAATTTGGCCGAAGAACAAAGGCCACCTATTTTTTTCGGTCGAGACTGAAAATATGGTCGGCCAAGAAGAAAAAACCTAGGCCACCTATTTTTTCGGTCGAGACTGAAAGTGTGGTAGGCCTAGAAGAAAAAGTTAAACTTTCTGAGCCACAAATCGACTCAAAAAATAATTCGCCAAAAAAGTGCTCCAATGACGAACAAGGCCGAGACATAGGCCTAGCCAGAAAAAAACCACGCCAATCAATATGATTATTAGTGATGAAGCCGATAAGGAGGAATCTCATTCGGCCAAGTTATTTGAATTAAAAGCCGAAATTATGCCTGGGGGACATAATAATTGTTCAACACATTCGGCGGCCGAAAATAAAAAATATTTCACCAAGTCAGAAATATTTGGAGATCATTTTTTATTCGGCTCAATGCAAAATTTGATTGGCTGTGTTGATATACAAAAATCTCGGCTTGGAATAAAGCATCGTTGGCCTCCTCCTAATTATGATTCGGCCACTTTTGTTTTTGTCTGCTAAAAAAAAAAAATATATGTATATATATAATAAATTATTTTCTTAAACATACGGCTATGCAAGCCGATGCATAAGAAAATAGGGGGGCCAACGGAATATATATATATATATATATATATATATATATATATATATATATATATATATATATATATAAATGTGTCGGTGCATGGAGGGTCCGTGGTAGTTGAATGATTGATCAAGACCACGTGGTTTCGTCGTGTTGTTGCACTGTCAGGAATGATTTGTATATGGCCGAGTAAAACGGGTTTATATATATAGGCAGGCCGACGTCTTATTCCGTTTCGGTCTCGACCTCAGCCACTTTACAAAGGCCTCGGCCTCGACCACCTCATGTATAAGCCTCGGCATATATGTGTAAAGGAAATGGGAAATGTTCTCGGCCAAAACTATATATATAAAGGAAATGAAGGTGGTTAGTCATGAAGGCAGAAAAGAAAAATGTGATAAAATTTGCATGGCCGACAACAGTATTCCAAGGCCAAGATTTGATTATATATATATATATATATATATATATATATATATATATATATATATATATATATATATATATATATAGCAATGATGTTCCTCGGCCAAAACGGTGGAGTTCCTCGACCACCAAGCATATAGCTAATGATCCTCGACCACTCAATAATAGACCTCGGCCAACAATGATGTTCCTCGGCCAAATTTTTGCCGATATATGTTAGCCAAAAGGGTTGGTCAATAACAGATACTGGGGAAATCGTCGTCGAGCTGTGTTGTTGGCTGAACCAGTTAATTTCCTTAATCATTCGGCTTACAGGCCGAAGCTCAAGGAAACTAGGGGGCAATGTTTGGACCCGATTTTACGCTATCGGCCCGTTGCGTTAAAACCATTAGATGGCTCCAAGACTAAACTGATTTTTTTTATATTACTATTAATTTTAATTATGGTAATTATCTTAAGAGAGTTTTTTGAGTATGAGGATATCGGGATGAAATGGGATTAACATGGCGAAAGTTGTGGAAGTCTACAAAGTCATGGCTTTTTGCTTGGATAAGGAATTGAGCTAGTCATATTTGATTTGAAAAGCATGCAGCACGTGGAGATTGGGTGGATTCACAATCAAATGGGGTTGGTTTGTGATTATCCATTTGAGTTCATGAAGATTGCATGGAGCATGCATGCAACATTATTAGCGGAGACAAGCCCACGTGGCCTAGAGTTCTGTTTGAGATTGAATATATCTCATCAAGCGCGTGGCCTCATCATATATTTTGGTTCAGGATAAAGATGCATGAGTGACCAAATGATGGGTGGAAGCATATTTGAATGGCAATTCTTTACAGGATTTCGTAGAGGCATCTGCGCATACGACTCGTGAGACGGAGTGTTGGTTAGGCCAACACATCATCCAATGGGTTTACAGCCACTATAAATACATAGGCAGTGGCATCATTTAAAAGACCCCTGCAAATCAACACAAAAATTGCCCTGCGCAAACTCTCACAACTTGAGATCTTTTTCTTTTCCTTTTTTTCGCTGACACATCTTCCGTTGGCATCAACAGCACTGTGGAAGCAACCGGTGATATCTTAAGTCGGCATAGATAGCTCTGTCACCGTAGAGTCGGTCGGTCTCGCAGTATCTTCCGTTGGCATCAACAGCACTGCGGCGAGAACGGTCGATTGCCTATCCAAGTCTCGGTCGAGAAGGGTTTTCAAATCCTTGTTGGTCGAGGTCATCTCATTAGCCTTCTCGGCGAGGTGAGGTGTTACAGTTATTACATTCGGCACATTGTAAGCCGAATTCGGTTCGTGAACTTTGTAAGAAATAGCAGCCTTGTCTTCAGGCTCGAGAACCCAAGAGGCCGAGACGCGTTCCTTTCTCGGCCGCAATCGCAAGACGCAGAAGTCAGTAGCGCGACTCGACACAGCATTATCAAATTTACTCCTCGGCCGAGCCTCGGCCGACGAGTTGGCACGCCCCGCAATCACCGAATGACGTAGTTAGCTTATTAATTACTCGGCCTGCGCGCCACGTAGGCTTTGTAGTTTCTAGGGTCAACAGTAGCGTACCAATAATATACCAAATTACTGATACGCTATTTTTTAATATATATGGGCATGCATATATATATATATATATCATTTGGAGTACATTGGTTCGTTTCAATATCACCTTGGTTTCTTTGTTAAAAAAACATTGTCTTTTTTGCAAGCACAATTTTTTGTTGTTGTTATTATATAGAATTTTAAATTTTTTTAAATTTTTTAATTTTTTTTATGTTGAAATTTTGGTGAGTAAATTGAAAATTAAATCTTATTTTTGGTAAGTAAATTTTGGTTTTAGATTTTTTGAGTGATTAGGAAATCTAAATAAAGAATTGTGATTAATGGTAGTTAATTAAACAAGAGTTTAATTTTGGCCTATCACCGCAATTATTTTCCGAAATAAAAATTTTCGGGTCCAGGCGTTACAAAAACTGCCCACTTGGGCTGATATCGTTCGCTGGCCAGGCTTGGGCAATAAGCCTGTATACACACAGGTGGGCTACAAATGTAAGCCCAGACGGCAAAGGCCCAAAACAGGGGTGTCAATCCTGTGCAGCGTGGTACACTGATACCGCAACCTTTATAGGGTTGGGATAAGGTGTGGTGGGAACACCGTGGCTAAGAAGGCCGGTGTCGGGCCAAGATGAGCTCCAAAGCCCAAAGGGTTGGTGTTCACTAAGAATAGGCCAAGCCCAAATGGGCTTGGTTTTTGAACCAGACACCTCAACGTAAGTTGGTGAACTCGTCGGAAAAGGAGACCGGCGCAATCGATGTAGGCCGTGGGTACGCCGGCCCTATAAAATTGAACGGAAAGTGAAAAACTCTCAATGTTTTAGAAACCCTAGAAATATTCGATCAAAATTTTAACGAAAAAAAAACATCGAATTAGTCAAGGACTCGTCGGTGACGACTTCAAGTCGTCGGGGAGGTAGCCATAATGGATGGGCATGGCTGCAGGCCATGCTACACGATAGTTCAATAAGTGTGATGCCATCTAGGCTTCGGGTTCTGGGATTGGGTCTAGAGCTGTGGCTCCATGGTTGGGTTTCTCAGCTTGGGGAAAGGAGCCTAGCAACACGGTCGTCACACGCTGAGTTTCTAACGAAACCCTAAAAAAGTTCTTTTTAATTTTTAATTCAATTCCAGATTATAAATTAATTCAATTTCATGCATATTCAACATATAATTCAATGCATGGACATGTATTCGATGCAATTCATGACAACAATATCAATTCACATAATTCAACAATATGGATATAATGCATACACAATTTACGTAGAATCTAAAAGTTGAAAAACGTAAGGTTGGATCATGCATTATGGTGAATGTTCATGCTATCAGAGTTTCAGATATATCGAGATAAAAGTCGTTGTTTTGGAAGAACCTGATTGCGCGATGATATTGATGAACATGTCTGATTCAGAAAACTTCCACGTCATTTTCCTAAGCGCAGTGGTAGGAGCATGCTGATAAGGTGTTGTGGCTTATCTTATTTTATTTGACAAGGAGAGAAGAGAGGCGCGACATGGAGAGAGTAGGGAGAGAGATGTGTTTGTAGAGTTGTGTAGAGAATGTGTTATGCCTTTACAGTGTCTTTATTTATAGTAATAAGGGAGGGAAGAATCCTTCTCCTCCGAGGAATACAAGTCCTAAATAGGGAAGAATAACTAGTATAAAATATAATCTAGGATTTACATAATCACATTTTTATTTGTTTATACCATAACTCACTTGAAAAATAGATTTAGTGTTCAAATTGAATAGAATAATAAAACAGAAAATGAATAATTGTTGTGCATGGATTTGGTACGCATGATTTCCAACATTTTATTTCTGGGAGTTTGTGGTATAACTTCCAACATTTTATTTTATTTTTAAAATTACGGTTGCGAAGTTTAATAAATATTACATTTTTCTTGTAAATGAGGAGTTTAATTGTTGTGCAAGGAATTTGATTGCTGAGCAAGAAAGAAGATTTGCTCATTATTCTCCTCAAAGATTTGTTCATGATTGATAGTAAACATTCATGTTCTATCCTCCTAATTGTTGTGTAATGCAAGGCGTTTCATTAATTGGCGTTTCTGGTTTAGAGTTTAAGGTTTAAGGTTTAGAGAAATGCTAACTACCTTCTCATTTACGTTCTTCAATTTGCCTTTCTCACTCATCAAGTGCCACGTGAACACCACTAATACTCAAAAATACGTTTTTAATGCCTTAAAAACTCATAAAATATTTTTCTGTTTTACCACTAATAAAAACTCTTTTTACCTTCCATATTTCTAAACCCGCCCACTCTTTCTTCTTCCGCAAATCCTCAGTCGTCTGCAATTTTTAAGCACACAATTTTTTTGTCCATGGTCTTTTCTTCCCAATTTAGCTTAATTTGCCTCATATGTCATTCTAGGCTAAATTGCTGCATGCTATAATTGTGCTGCATATTCAATTTTGGGTTTTTAAAGAAGGGAATTTTAACAAAAAGCTCTTGGTATTGTTCACTTTAACGAAAAATTACATTTTTACACTAAAAAGTCAATCCTGTTACTATTCACTTTACCCTTTATTTTGTCTTTATCATTAAAACTCAAAGTTTTGAAACCCTTTTAATTAGTTTTCCTTTATTTTTAAGGAAAACTAATAAAAAAGGTTTGAAAACTTTAAGTTTTAATGATAAAGACAAAATAAATGGTAAAATGAATAGTACCAAGATTGATTTTTTAGTGTAAGAATGTGTTTTTTCGTTAGAGTAAACAGTACCGGAAGCTTTTCGTTAAAGTTCCCATATTTTTATCTAGTTTAGTCCAAGTCAAGGCAATCTAATTTAGTTTTAGAAGTTAGTCCAGTCTGGGATAGTTTGGTGAAACAAAACCTACCCTAATTCTATGTATCCAGCGGGATCCTTGCAGAATCGAAAACCGATATTGTACGTATTCATTCATTGAATAAATCCAACCGATTGACCAAAACGTTGGACCACCGTGATTGCTAAGTCTCTAGAGGGTGGCCCAGTATAAGTGCTTGAAAAGGAACTCCAAGCAAGCACCTACTCCTTCTCCAGGGACAGGGACAGAGACAGAGTCCTAGAGTCGTCAAGTCTTTTTCTTCTCCTCCCGCAAGGAAACAGTCTCATCTTCCAAACTCCAACCACTTACCAGCCACCTTGTGTTGAATTTGAATTAGGGTTAGGGTTTGAGAAACATGATGATTCAGATCAATAAACAGCCAGTGCTCCTGCCTCCGCCGCCGCCGCAAGGGTGTTTGACGACGGCTGCTATTCCGACAAGAGCAGCCCGAAACCTCCTTGTCCTCAACGCACCCACAAGGTCAACAACAATTCCGACAACTATTTCAATGGCTCGTCAAGTCCGACATTCGGTCCTCCCAATAATCCCGATGATGAAAAGAAGAGGAAGAAGAGCAATGGCGGCTTCCGATTCGGTTTCGGCTGCTGCTGTTGTCGACGTGGATATGGGGATTCGGAGGAAGAAGAATAACAAGAATAACAAGGTTTTTAAGGCGTACGGCGACCCCTGCCTCGATCTGTTTTTCAACGTCACACAACGACCCGGCGATTACAGCGAGGCAGCAGCAGGAGACGGAGAAGGAGTATCACACCAAAATGTTTAACTATCTGCGGCAACAGCTCCCCTTGGCCTGGTCCCACGATCCTCTCACCACTCTCAAGCTCATCTTCAACCTCTCTTCCTGCGGTATCGACGGATCGAAATGGTACAGTGAAGCTTTTTGAATTCGCAGCTGTTTGGCTCCACCACAACCACCCCAACACTCTGTTACGCAACTTCGGCTCTCTTGCCGACTCCTTCGGTCCTTTGTTCACCCTGCTCGACGTTCTGTACGGCATCCTCGTTCCTCCTCAGGATCAGCTGGATCACACACTGGAGGAGTTACTCCAACGCGAGAATCCGAATTCTCATGCTGATCGGTACGCCCACGACCCGACTTACAGGCTTTTGCACGACCGGGGTATGGATGCTTTTGCGGAGCGGTTGAAGTCCGATCTTGAAAAATTGAAGCAGAACAAGCTCGAGCTCAAGCCGTGTGATTATGATGACGATGTTGACGATGATACCGACTACAATGCTAAACGCGGTTCTCTTGATGCTTATGCTTATCATGATCTTCTCGTTTCTTTGGCAATAGATTGTTTGCTTACAGGGAACCCTTGGGAGGCACATAAGGGGCGCTCCATTTCGCTGGAAGAAAGCACTGCGAGGAGGCTTCTCACCCCCGAATCAGATGTATCGCGGGAGTGGGAGCGGCTGAGGAAGGAGGTTTTGGCGCCCTTGAAAAACTACTCTAGTCGTCAAAGTCGGTTTGGCAGGTGGGAGCGCTGCGAGGTGAAGAAGTACTTGGAGGAGGTGAAAGCAGCAACAACAATTATAAAGCCCGACGCTTTACTTCCATATGACATCCTACGCTATCTGGAAGATGGTAATGTTGGGGAAGCGGCAGAGCTTCAATGGAAGGCAATGGTGCAAAAGGTCAAGGAGGGCGGCAAATTCAAAAACTGCTGGGCTGTATGTGACAACGGCTGGTGCCAGTCATGGAGTTTGAGTTTGGGACTTTTGGTGTATGAACTGAGTGAAGAGCCATGGAACCGAAAAGTGATGAATTTCAGTCTGCCTGATTCCCGCTGTAAGTTTATTCCGCCCATTCATTTTTTGCCCCAGCTGCATTCCATTCAGGGCCTCGACGATGTTAAGTCCAAGTTCTCCTTTCTGACGAGAATGGAGAGGAGAATGGACATAAGCAGCATATGTATTGATATACAAATGGTGTTTGATGCGATCTTGGAAGTTGTTGTCAAGGAGAATTTGAAGCCAGAGCAGATGATCAAGAAGCTGTTTCTGTTCACCGACTGCGCAGGCTATGATTGGAAGGGTTACGAGAATCTGTATGAGGCCGTACGGAGCATGTTCGGGGACAAGGGGTATGGGGATGATGCGGTGCCACACATTGTGTTTTGGGATTTTTGGTGGGGGTATCGTTCTCCATCCTTTGATTTTCCTCATAGAGGGGTGACGGTGTTGCGTGGCTACTCCGAAAATTTGGTCAAATCCTTCCTGGACAATGGTGGGGATTTTCGCCCTCACCATCTCATGGAAGTAGCCATTGCCGACAAAGAATATCAAACTCTTGCTGTAGTCGACTGACTGACTGACTCAACATCCGGTCCCTCCTTTGGCATTGGCGATAGCATTGGCATTGGAATTGGATTGATGATCTATATGATCTTCTGCGATCTGATTGTTCATCATTTCTTACTTACCGCAGTTTCCAGGTAGAATTTAAACTAATAAGTCATCTTTATTAGGAAGAAGAGATATCCTATGTGTGTTTGTCTGTATTAGCTAGATGTGGTTTGGATTCATTCCAGAGCTCTCTCTCAACTTTATGTAACATTAGAAATAATCTTCATGTAACTTATAAATACTCATGTGTTTTAGTATCCTTAATTTTAATGTAACATTAGAAATAATAGAAATAATCATGTGTTTTAGTATCCTTAATTTTATTGTTTCCTAGGTTAGTTGGCTACCAACATGCAGGGCCGTCTGAGGTTTTGAAGGCCCTATGCAAAATTTGTAAAAGAGTCTCTCCTTGAGATAGTTTTAAGTTAAAAAAAGAAAGAAAGGACAATGCTAGGAAACATTCACTTAAATCAAAACAAAGCCACTTAGTACTATGGTCTAGTGGATACTCGTTTTTACTTGTAAGTGAGATATCTTAAGTTCGATTCTCGCCAAAGGTGAATTTGAACCACATTATTGCTAGCTCATTGTAAGACTTAGCCCAATTTCTCACTTTTTTAGTGTTGATAATGTTGTTCATTAAAAAAAAAATATTCAAAATAAACTTTAGCACTAACTGATTGCATGTTTACAAATGTCATTAATGATAAATAAATAAAAACTACAAACATAATTTTCTCTAAATAATCAAAAGTAGTTCTATCTTAAACAACCAAACATGAAAAAAAACTTCAAAACTCTAAATTTTAAAGTTTCACTTAAATATATAACATTATTATATAATAAAATTAAGAAACTATCGTTTTTTAGGGTGTTATTATTGACACTCAAAATATCTCATTGTACTCCAAAGTTTTTATATTTAGAAAGAAAAAAATAATAATCTTATAAGGAGTACACAATGCAGTTTTACAGTGCTAACAAAAACAATTTTTTAAATATAGAACATTATTACATGATATTAGATGACAAAAATTTTAGGGATCTCATCAAATTTGAGACTCTGTGCGACTGCACATTTCGCTCTCCCCAACGCCCCATTTGCCAACATGTGCAATTTTTTAAATATAGAACATTATTACATGATATCAGATGACAAAAATTTTAGGGATCTCATCAAATTTGAGATTCTGTGTGACTGCACCTTTCGCTCTTCCCAACGCCCCCTCTGCCAGCATGTTATGTTTTATTCTCTGTTCTGTATCTGAAAACTAGTGGTACATGATATTATGGATGATTAATTAAGCTTATTAGTTACTTAGTGGTGAAAGCAATTGGTTGCTCCTAGACCTGACAATTTCTGACATGACTTGTTAAGACAACACGAAAACAACAAAAAATAACGTGTTTCGAGTCACTACAATAACTAATCGGGTCACCTGGTTGCTCCTAAACCTGACAATGTCTTCACCTCGCGGCTTTCCCATGCGATAAACATGCCAATATTAGCGTACCGAAATTGAAAAACATGCCACAATTAGCGTACCAAAATTGAAATTTTGGTATATGGTAATGTCCCTAAGCTGTAGTTCATTTGATCAGTAATTTCATATCGTTTGCTTTCCAAGGAATTAATTCGAATACATATGAATCTCAATAACTTTTACCAACAATGACTGATGAAAATATATAAGCCATTTGTAACATATATTTACAATCACAATGAACTTGTTTTGCAACCTACTCTTTCCCCATCCAACCCTTACAGCAAATACGTACGTTACATACATCCCCATTCACCAAGACATGAACACCCTTGACCCGTATCCTAATAACAATCACAAAACGGTCTAAAAAGGACTAAAAAAACGAAAAAAGAACTACATAACACAACAAAACAATGAAAGATTCTTTCCTTCATATGCCTCTTCCACACAAGTACCTTGAGTCAATCCTCTTTCACAGAGACTTCCCTCCTTACTCCTCCCCCCCCTCCCCCAACACAGTTGGATAGACAGAGAGATTTAGAGAGAAAGAGGAGGGGAGAGCTTTGTTGTTTCCTAAAATATTGTGAACAAAATAAAAATTATCTCAAATTGCTTTTATATCTCATACAATGCCCTAACCACTTCTCATAATTACAATCCATGTCCCATTTTATTTTATATTTATTATTTTTTGTAATGATTTTGTTTTTCACACTATCATGAAAAATTATTAAACTAAAATCTCGAACTTACAAGTACAAATGAATACCCGTAGTATTAGTGGCGTCCATTTTATTTAGTTTTTGAGAAAATTAACTAATATTCAGAAAGCATGCACTATATATTATTTAGTTTGTAAAAGTGTTATTGACACATCAAAAATTATTATCGTGTACTCCCACTTTATAAAACAGTAGATAAAATTTGCACAAGAATGTGCATGATGACTTTTCTGAAGTATCAATAACAACTCCCTGTTATTTCTTATATTTACTCCTTTTTATACGAACAATATTGTTAGATGAAAATAATTGAACAATTGTATAAAGGTAATAACTTAATCATTGGAAGAATGTTTTGCTTTTGTTTTCGTTTAATTCTCTTTGTATAATGATTAAGATAGCAACGATTGCATTTTTGAATACTTTTCAAAATATGAGATGAATGATGGATAAATACACTCTTACTCATCATTGGAGAATTTGGAACTCTAGACCTGCCATACTCTTGCTCATCATTCAATACACTCTTATCATCGAGCTAACCATAGTGGCTTATGTAGACTACGTTGACATAACTAATTGGCTTTCCTTATTATAAGGAGACCATGGAGGGATTGAGAATTACTCCTACCTGACATCTGGCGAAGACTCTAAGCTAGTATTTCCTAATTGATGTGCATTTTTATACTTGTTCTTAGTATTTTATTAGTTTTTGTGATATAACTAAAGATCAACGAGTCTCCAGTTCAACTAGCACCCGAACCGATAAGCGTATCAAGAGATATGCAAATACAAAGTGTATAAGTTGCCATCCTTTTTTGAGGTGATTTGAACATGTAGGAATTGTATCTTCTCTTAAGAAATTCCTGTGACCCGTTTTTTGATCACATCATCACATCTTCTCTTATATATAATAAAAAAATTGAATATACATGAAGTCTCAAGACCAAAAGACGAATCTTAATAGAAAAAGAAAGACAAAAACATCTCTGTGAAAATATCACATTTTTATAGTACTACCCACCATAATATGGCATTATTCATGCCTGCATGTGAAATTTAATTCGAGGATTGTATATCTTTATCATCTTCTAATATTAATATTAATATACACAAACAAATTAATCATTTTTTTAACAAACAAATAGTATTTGTACGGGTGAGGAAGTGGGCAGAGTTTTACAATAGGCTTGCCATAATAATGTAGTTCAACTTCGTCTTTGGCAAGAATCGAATCTAAAACATCTCACTTATAAATGAAGAGAAATAATTATTAGCATATACAGCTAACACATTCCAAACAAAATGAAAGAAAATTAATTATTAGATGTCTAATTATTGTTATTGCCTCAATCATTTCCATTAGCTTTATTAACTATTTCCATCGTACCTTCATCTTTTTCGTCACAAGAAATTTCAGTGTACTTAGAATATAGCTTAGTATATCAAGTGTCATAATACAATTGGTTATTATTTTTTTTTTCAAGTATCCAACAACTTATATTTATGACACTTGGTGTACCAGACCCGACACACTTCTACACTTTGCAATCGAGCTAGTAGACTGGCCTAGATTTTCGGCATGTACTGCGAACATACAACAAAATAGTACAAGAGTGATTTTCTGTAAAGCAAGTTGAATGAGAATACTCTGACATCTAATGTAAATGTTTTTATCGTCAAGATAAACATTAGTATAAGCACAATGTATATTTTAAGATC